TGAATATTCCTTATTACAAGAATAAAGCAAAATTTGATATCACATCTATTCCTGTTTTCCTCTTTTATAAACATGAGAAATCTTGCTACAAAATAAGTAGGTGGAAATGAAAGGATTTTTTTAAAGTGATGCTGTTCAATTCTTTGAAATTCCTATTAGTCATATGTCAAAGATCATGTTGCAGCCTGTTTCCGAAAAGCATGTTTAGTCTCTACGAGCTGCCAGTTCCATCACATTTCTCCTTTAGTTTTTACCGAAAGCAAAGAATTGGCAACTACCTACTTTGAAAAAGATCTGTTATGCATTTTTTAGAATCAGTTCATTTCTCAGTTTCTTTGTAGTATACCAAAAAATGTTTCACCAAGGCTTAGCAAAATACTAGTAATTACACCTGTTATTCTTTTACTTAGCAGCACTTTGTTTAATCTGATATACACAGAAGGGGTAGAAAGTGGAACTATTGTTCATTTTAATTCATCTTTGCTATTATATTTTGTGAATGCTTTCATCTTATTATATGCTTTAACTATATCTATTTCATTAGCCCATTTAATTTATGGGAAATACCCACTGTATAATTTAACTGGCAGAGCCAGTACTCATTAAAATCAAATTTACTTTCTGTCAGAAAAAGTCTGACTTACTTTTGTAGTTCAAGTGAATTAATCTACATTTTGTCACAACCATTTCAGTTCTGAATTCCCGGTCTAAATAGAGAGGTAGAGAGATAGATAAAGCACAGATCCTTGCCATAAACTTGACAATTGGAATAAATAAGGTATCACTGCATTTAATATTTCTGACCCTTATTGACACTTTGTTATCACGAAACTCATCTGCAGCTGAAAAGCATTTTTTGACAATGGTTGGGGGTGGGTGATAAAGTCATTAAACAAAAATGTTTTTGCTCCCTCTCTATATACTGTATCAGATTTCAAAACATGCCAGTTATCCCAAATACTCCATTTTAAACTCCACACTTTGCCCTTAATAGAAATACATATAAGACAGGGAAGGACACAGAAACCCAACCTTTGGTTTATGGTGTCTTGAGTAAAGGAGGCTTCGCCAGCAAAAATACTTCAAATTTTGCCTTTGTCTGGCACTGTGGAAGCTTTATGTTCCAAGACAATGTGTCACCGTAAGATTTTGGGTGTCTGGTAGGTATGCCCTTCTGCTGTAAAGAAAGTCTACATGTGGAAGTTGTTGAGGTTGAAGAAATTAATTCCCTTAAAACGATCCACCCCTTTCCTCATTGAAAAGTCTTAATGAGTCCTTGGGGTATGACTACCCTTGTTCAAGGACCACTGGACTAAATGTCCTCCATTGTACTTGAACTCTAAGATTCTATGATGTTATGATTAATTAGGCTTTTTTATTACAGGGAGAAAAAAATATAATCGCAACTACTACTGCCCCATTTAAGCATGTCCAGTCAACCTTGGTTCTTTTGTTTTACAAATGAAGAATTCTGTTTTTTGAAAAAGAGCCACCCATTAAAACAGCTATGGGACTAATTGGATAAGTAGATACACTTCTTGACATAACAATGGGTCCTTATATCATTTCAGTGAGAAAGATTTTCACCCTTCAAAATCGATATATGGAGAAAACAACAAGGCCAAAATACCTAGCTGTGAAACTGTGTTGAGAGAGTGAAACCTAAAACCCTGGAAGTCAGAACTTAATTACTGTTACCACAGCTAATGCTCTTATGTAAAGATAATGTTTATAAAAAATTCTGGGATTAGTAACAGTTTATGCTCACCAGCTTTCAAAGCACAGATATGCTACTAAATTGCTTAAAAACCCCATTTGTAAGAAGCAGTAGACAGGATCAACATCAGAGAGTAGATTAAATTACTTGTGTCAGATAGTAGTGATAGAAGTTGTTAATAACAATAAAGTGAAATAATAGCTTTCGAAATGTATAAACCGGATGACTTGGTCCAAATATAAACTATATCTGTATTTATTTATTTATTTATTTATTTATTTAGTCATTTATTTATTTATTTAGTCATTTATTTATTTATTTAGTCAGTCATTTATTTATTTATTTATTTATTTATTTATTTAGTCAGTCAGTCAGTCAGTCAGTCAGTCATATTTCAAAGAGACTGTCTTCAAAATCAGAAATTCTTTCTTCTGCTAGTTCTAGTCTGTTGCTTAAATTCTCAGTTGTATTTTTTATTTCATTAAGTAAATCTTTCAGTTCCATGAGTTCTGCTACATTCTTTTCAAAGGTACTAATCTCTTGGTAAATTCCCTCTTTCATATCCTGGGTTTTTTTTTCTCATTTCATTATATTGTCTAACTGAATCTTCTCATATCTCAGTGTGTTTCCTTAAGATTGTTGCTCAAAATTCCAGTTGGTGTGTGTCTTTATAGGTGAAGTGAGTCTCCTGTAGACAGCTTATTATTGGTTCTTGTTTTATAATCCATTGACCAATTCTGTATGTTTTAATTTGGGCATTTAATCCATTTGCATTTTGAGCTATTATTGATATACAGGAACTTACTACTGCCATTTTATTATTTTTTTCCAGTTGTTTCATAGATCCCCCCCCCCTTTCTTCCAGTCTTACTGTGACTGAATGGGTTTCTCTAGCAGTATATGTTGATTTCTCATTACTTATTTTTAGTATGTCTCTTATAAGTTTTTGTGTTATGGTTACTATGAGGCTTGCAAAAATCATGTTAGAGTTATAAGAGATTTTTTTGGACTAATGACAACTTAACTTTGATAGATAATTAAAAAGAAAAAAAGAAAGCCAACTCTACACTTTGCATCATTCCCCACTCCACCCCTAACTTTTTGACCTTTCATTGTTTCAAGTTACATCTTTTAATATTGCTTATCTCTTAAATCGTTGTTGTTGTATGTTATGTCTGTTAGATTTGTTCTTTAGTCTTCATACTTAGGATGTATATCATTTATTCACCACATTTATGATACTGGAGTATTCTGAGGTTGGATATACCATCCCATTCTCTTCTAGTCTGTAGGGTTTCTACTGAGAAATCTATTGAGAGATGTATTGGGGCTCTGTTGAATGTTATGTGTGTCTTTCCTCTTGCTGCTTTAAATATTCTTTCTTGGTCTTTGATCTTCAATAATTTGATTATGATATGCCTTGAGATTTTCTTTGGATTGAATTTGATTGGCAACTGCTGAGCTTCCTATACCTGGATGCTATCATCTTTCTCAATTATTGGCAAATTTTCAGTCTATTTCAACTATTCAAGAATATTCAAGAAATATTCAACTATTTCTTGAATATGCTTTCCAGGTCTCTTTCTTTTTCCTCTCCTGCAGGTATGCAAATTATGTGGAAGTTATTTTGCAGAAGGAGTCTCACATTTTCTGTATTTCTGTTCTATTTTTTCTTTTTGCTCCTATGATTGGATAATTTCATATGTTCTGTCTTTGAGCTCACTGATTCTTTCCTCAGTGTGATTAAGTCTACTATTGGAGATATCTACTGAGTTTTTAGTTCAGGTAATGTATTTTTTATGTCTGGAATCTCTATTTTTTTTAATTGGTTCTATTCCTTTGTCAAGTTTCTCATTCTGTTCCTGAATTGTTTTCCAGATATCATTTAATTTTCTATCTGTATTTTCTTGTGATACCCTGAGCATTCTTCAGAGGGTTACTTTGAATTCTCTGTCTGACATTTCATAAATCTGCTGTTCTTCTGATTCCATTGGTGGTGCTTGGTTTGTCTACTCTTCCCGGTCAGTCAGAAGAGTCTTTCCTCTGTCATTAGGATAGTTTACAACTCTCAGATTTGAAATTAAGTTCTCTAAATTTTGAATTAACTTCTCTGGAGGCTACACTCAGATTAATGTTTAAAAAAAGACAAAGTTGGTAGTAAGACAACTTCATTATCACTTTTAAAGAGTTAAGGTGAAGATGATACTTTGCCCAGTTTCATTCTGTTCCACAGCCTTCATGGACTCTTTCTGGATTAGAGAAAATGTGGTTATATTTCCATTTATTGCAAATTGTAAAACCTTTTCTATCACTGAGTCCCTCAGTAACTGAGAAAGAACCTTGGCAAAGAGGGGAAAAAAGGGGCACACTGTACCAAAAAAGAGGAGTCTGATCGCTTTTCTAGAAGCAGGCCGTGCAGGAAGAGAGAAGATGGCACCTCTAAGAGGTGGCAGAGATTCAAGGAACAGAGTTTTTGTCCCTAATACTGAAAGTGAGTTTCAGATGAGGTCAAAACGAAGAAGAAACATTGTAACAGCTTACACCAGAAACTTTGTGAGAATATATACTTAGCCCACCTTCTTGCTTCTTGCAGTGTCCCTATTACTACCCCTTATCTACCTCCCTTCCAGCATCTGATTTTTCATTCATTCTAGCATATAGTTTAGAGAGAACTACATGAATCAGTGCCATTGATTGGTTTTGTTGTTGTTTGCTTAAGGATTGATTTGGAAATCTCCATAATCCATTCTGCCTTAATTTACACTTTGCATGTTATGATATGTTTAGAATGACTGATAAATACCACACTTAATTCCTCCCAAGAAATAACAAGACATATAATTTGTAAGATAATTGTGTTTCAAGTGATCATAAAAGACTATAAGTGTGAAAACAGCTTTAGTAATAGGCTCACCTTGGGGGAAGGCAAAGGATTTTGAATGTCTTAAACAATGTGCTAAATCGGAATTACTGAAACAATATCTAATAAAAAAGTGTTTAAGATGAAAATTAAATGAGAGCATTTTATTTATCAGAAGAAGATGCAATGTCTGAACATTTAGGGAGAAGAACTTTTACAAAAAGTTCAAAAACCTTTTTCGTTTTGTTTTGTCTTAAGTTTTTGTTCTTCATCAATGGATCTCTTACATTCAGGAAAATTAGGTGGATTTACACAAGAAAATAACACCATAGATTCTGGAGAACTTGATATTGGCCGAAGAGCAATTCATGTTTTGTTTTGTCTTAAGTTTTTGTTCTTCATCAATGGATCTCTTACATTCAGGAAAATTAGGTGGCTTTACACAAGAAAATAACACCATAGATTCTGGAGAACTTGATATTGGCCGAAGAGCAATTCAAGAGGTTCCTCCTGGGATCTTCTGGAGATCACAGCTCTTTATTGATCAGCCACAGTTTCTTAAATTCAATATCTCTCTTCAGAAGGATGCATTGATTGGAGTATATGGCCGAAAAGGCTTACCACCTTCCCATACTCAGGTAAGAGTAGCTTTGTTGTCAATAAAATGAAAACTGCTAGTTTGCATTTTTTTAGGTTATTCTCTTTCTTAAGTTCAGCCATTTGTTTAACTGTTTAACCACTTTTGAATTGATCTTTTACAGTAGAAAGGATTTTGAATGTAAGTTACACTTATATTGAGGTTTTTGAATCAGAAACAGGAACATTTTCTTCCTAACTTGCTTTGATAATTATTGATTGATTAAAATATACTAAAATTTGTAAGTAACTTAATGAATTTTGAGCATCATCTGAGACCTGATAAAACATCATGGATTTTTCAATTATCTTTCAAAGATTCTATAATAATTTCAGATGATCTTATCCCACTCATATACTAGATGTATATCGTATTTATCTCAAACATGTATTCATTCTGTTGAAAATGTATGTTTTGAACGTATGCCAGATTTACTGTTAATAAAGAAATTATGGAAGCATAAACATAAATATAATGATTATGAGCTTTATCAACTCAAGCCACTATCCCTCATCTAAAATGATGAACACTGAGATAAAAAGGCAAAAGAGCTTTCATGGATAACCGAGTGTGATCACATTACTGTAGAACTCAGAACAACTCAAATGTCCTTATATCACAGATTTAAAGGACTTGAAATTCAATTCCCTTGTATGAAAATCCCCTCACATGAAGTCACAGGTGGAGAACTGCTAGCAGTAATTCCACAGGCTTTTTCATAATCTAATATTGTGTCATAGTGTGCAAATTGAGAACTGTTTTAAAATAGGTCCCTTAATGTCTAAGAGAAATTATTTAAATTACCTACCATAAAATTGGAACTCAGACATTTCCCAAGTTCAACTATTATGTTAGTAAATAGAGGAATTTCAAAAATGTAATCACTATTTAATTAAAATTGACAATTGGATGAGCTTGATGTTATACTTGATAATCGGTTTATTTACGCATGGAATTTCATGCTGATTTGGTTTGATTTATGAAATAAGGATGGGAGAATTATCATGTGTACTTTATATTATATAACTTTGTGAGAAATGCTTTTTCTATAACCTAAGAACATAAATTATGAAGAAAATCTGCTCAGATACTATAAAGAAATCACATCTTTAAAGAAAGATGAGTAACAAAATTTCAACATGCTTTCTCTACTGTCATTCTAGATCAGGTTCATGTATATATATAAATTTTATGGCTGTGAAATTTTTGACTATCATGCTTTAGTGTGTTCGTTTTTCTTATTTAACATTTTTATGTCTATAGGTACATTATTAAAGTAAATACCTTCAATCCTTGCACATCAAATACCTCTTATTGTGTGCTACTGTCCAATTTAAAATTTTAGATTTGACTTCGGTTCATGCTATAGGTGACACTGACTAGGATATAATAACCAGATTTTCTTAAATGAAAGTAGGCCTCTATAACTTCAATTATAGCAGATAGAGTGTATTTGTAGCAATAGTCATATGAAAAACTGTTTTTCTACTGAAACCACATCCATGAATAAATTTATAATTTAAGAAAGAATGAGCACGTATGTAACTTATAAATTCCAGAAAATAATTTCAGATAAAAGTTGTCTATTGTGTCGTGCACTTAAAAGGTTTATTTAAAGACTTAGACTTGACTCTTTGCCAAGTTTTGCATAACATATAAGATTAGGGAAACAAAAGATTTCCCAGTTTCAGTTTTTCTCATAATTCTTCTAGTATTTAAACACAGTACGCTGGATATCCACTTTCTTTTCTACCACGATGTATGTGTTTAATTAGGTTACGCATTTTCTTAAGCTTCCACAGTTGTTAGAATTCCTTCCTCTGGCTTATTCAAGATCAACAGAGCAAACAACTGTTTTAAAGTTCAGTGTTTAAACATGAAATATGCTATAAAGCAGCCCAAATTGAACATTTTTTTGTTTCTGGGGAACATTAAATAAATCAACCTGAAATAATTAGGCTTGGCCAGCCATTCAAAATAGTCACTTGAGTTTTGAAAGTCTTTGTGACCCTTTATAAAACTGTCCATTTGATTGTTGCCAACAAATCAATTGATTTTCTTCTCCCTGATGCTCAGTTCATTCTCCTGGACAGTTAGAAGCCTAAGGAAGCAGTTCCGTGCTTTACGGTTAAGTGTCCTCTGGCATTTTAGTGCATTTGCCTGAGCATTGTTTTAGAATAGGAATTGGAACCTGGGTTCTAAGTACATCCCTACCACTTTTTTGACTTTGTGACCTTGCACAAATCAATTAACTTTTATGAGTCTTAGTGTCTGTGGGTAAAATGAGAGAGTTGGATCAGATGATCTCTAAAATCTCTTTCTTCTCTATATTCCAATGATTTAAAGGAAGAAGACTATGCCACCACCAAAAAGTTGATTTAAGGACACAGTTAAGTATTTATAGATTCTGAATTCTCATCATTTTAATAACAGAATTGAATTAAACATATGGATAGTCTAAATGTTCAGAAGTGAACCACCAACATACTTGAAAAAAATCTATTTGCATTTTAAATGTTCTGTTAGATAATCAGCATAAATACAACCAACATGGCCAAACTTTTCTCCAGTTAATTTTGTGATGAACTTTGTTAATATGTTGTAGTTTAAAGCAACTTTAAATGAGAAGGATTTTTTAAAGCATGAATATTTGGTAATAATATTAAATCATGAGAAAAATACCAATAAAGGGAACATTTATACTGATAGTTTCAATTTATATGAAACCTTTGTCAAGCATAAACTTTGTCTCATTATAGCTTCTCCCAAGTAGTGAGACTAAAGAGTTAGCCCAAGAATTTTATCCTAAAAATAGCATAAGATCTTAACACTCCTCCCCCTCCCCCAAAAAGTCTCCATCTTATGAATAGGTATTACAAAGCAAAACTCGGTCCTTAAGTGATCACTTTACACTCAAAGAACAAAGGTCATTAAATATTTCTATCAAAAATAATTTGGGGGCCGGCCCGGTGGCGCACTGCTACAGTGCGCCGCTTGGGAGCGCGGCGGCGCTCCCGCCAAGGGGTTGGATCCCACATACAGACCGGTTCCCGCTCACTGGCTGAGCGAGGGGCAAGCGCAGCAACGAGGGTTGCGATCCCGTTGCCGGTCCCGGTCCGGTACGGGCGCGACACTGAGGGTTGCGGTCCGTTGCCGGACACGAAAAAAGAGACAAAAAGGAAAAAAATAATAATAATAATAATTTGGTTATTTTTGATAGAGATAGTTTTAGTGTTAAGTAGGGAACTTTTCTTTAGACAAAAAGGAAAAAAAATAAATAAATAATAATTTGGTTATTTTTGATAGAGATAGTTTTAGTGTTAAGTAGGGAACTTTTCTTTAGGTATATGAATAGCCTTCCTAAAGCCATGTGTGAAACGCCTCTACTAAATAGCCTACAACTGGGTAGATATTCAAAAACTGTCAGCTACTCCCCACCATCACCATAAGCCTACCCCCCCAGCCTTATTTTATTGTTCACAGTGTGATGCAAATGGAAATTTCTATGATAAAGGTAATGAATATGATTTTGAATGTGAAAGACCATTTAAAACTCAAAATTTCCTCCCTTTCACTTTTTCAGTTACCGTGTTTAATGTTAGGGGAGAAAAATGCTACTGTCCAATTTAAAATTTTAGATTTGACTTCGGTTCATGCTATAGGTGACACTGACTAGGATATAATAACCAGATTTTCTTAAATGAAAGTAGGCCTCTATAACTTCAATTATAGCAGATAGAGTGTATTTGTAGCAATAGTCATATGAAAAACTGTTTTTCTACTGAAACCACATCCATGAATAAATTTATAATTTAAGAAAGAATGAGCACGTATGTAACTTATAAATTCCAGAAAATAATTTCAGATAAAAGTTGTCTATTGTGTCGTGCACTTAAAAGGTTTATTTAAAGACTTAGAGTTGACTCTTTGCCAAGTTTTGCATAACATATAAGATTAGGGAAACAAAAGATTTCCCAGTTTCAGTTTTTCTCATAATTCTTCTAGTATTTAAACACAGTACGCTGGATATCCACTTTCTTTTCTACCACGATGTATGTGTTTAATTAGGTTACGCATTTTCTTAAGCTTCCACAGTTGTTAGAATTCCTTCCTCTGGCTTATTCAAGATCAACAGAGCAAACAACTGTTTTAAAGTTCAGTGTTTAAACATGAAATATGCTATAAAGCAGCCCAAATTGAACATTTTTTTGTTTCTGGGGAACATTAAATAAATCAACCTGAAATAATTAGGCTTGGCCAGCCATTCAAAATAGTCACTTGAGTTTTGAAAGTCTTTGTGACCCTTTATAAAACTGTCCATTTGATTGTTGCCAACAAATCAATTGATTTTCTTCTCCCTGATGCTCAGTTCATTCTCCTGGACAGTTAGAAGCCTAAGGAAGCAGTTCCGTGCTTTACGGTTAAGTGTCCTCTGGCATTTTAGTGCATTTGCCTGAGCATTGTTTTAGAATAGGAATTGGAACCTGGGTTCTAAGTACATCCCTACCACTTTTTTGACTTTGTGACCTTGCACAAATCAATTAACTTTTATGAGTCTCATAACCCTTAGGTTTCTCCATGATGTTTGGGATGGTTACATCAGGGTCCCAGAAAAAAAGGTAGGGTGGGTGGGGTGGAAACAGCCCAAGCTTTTGAGCAAAGTGCACTTGAGTTCACAGACCAGCTCTACCACTTAATCAGGTATCTGACCCTGTGGAAGCTCCTCAAGACTCAGTGTCCTTTATCTTGAAAGTGTAAATATTAATGCCTCCCTAAAAGGGTTCCTCTGAGGATTAAAAATAATCCCAGCACAAAGTAAATATTCAACAGTAGTTGTTACTACATGAGAATGAAATAGGAGGAGAAGACATTAAGAGATTATCTAATGGTCTAATAAAATAAGGCTGCTGGCTTTGAAATGTAAATTCATGTAGATTTTATGCTTGTATCCCCAAACTGCCTAAACTCGTCAAAGTTTTTATCAGTCAGGAGAATTAAATAAATTTGGAAATCATATTGCCCAGTAAGGGAAAAATGATCTTTGACATTTAAATACAACAGCCGTGTACAGTAGATAGTTTTCATCATCCCTGTAAATGCTGTTGCATAGAAGACTTCCTCCATTTGGGCCTGTCAATCAGGAACTTTTTGTCTAATATTGTATTTACTAGAGCAAAGGAGAAAAGCTTGAAGAAATAAGAAGAGAGAAGCTGCCACGCCATTATATTTCTGACTACTAAAACAGTTTTCATTGTCCCCAGTACGACTTTGTGGAGCTCCTGGATGGCAGCAGGTTGATTGCAAGAGAGCAGCGTAACATGCTTGAGTCGGAGAGAGCAGGGCGACAGGCAAGATCCGTCAGTCTTCACGAGGCCGGCTTTATCCAGTACTTGGATTCTGGAATCTGGCATCTGGCTTTTTATAATGATGGGAAAAATGCAGAGCAGGTGTCTTTTAATACCATTGTTATAGGTAAGAACCTTCTTCAAAGCATCTTTTTCCAGGCTACAGACTAAACACTGTGTTGAATAGAAACTAAATTAGCTTTATCAATCTTGAGTGAATCCTGGGGTGTTAAAGCCTAGGTAAAATGTGAGAAATATTTCTGAATGGCTTATTTATGAATATGTGACAGACCATGAAGCACTGGAAGAAAATATTATTTGGAATTACCTTGGGGGAGGAGAGTACATCATGAAAACACTTTAAAAATCTGCATTTGAAGTGACAGTGCTTTGCTGTACTATTCGAATAATCTGCTATGAATGATTTTTTTTTTTTCTTTTGGTTGTAGAGCTGTCCATCCATACTTCCTTTACTACTTAGCTAAAATGATCAAAGTGACACAGTTTATCTTTTGCAAGAGGCAGGCTATACCACGAGTGTTCTTTCCTTTTCTTTTCTTCAGAATCTGTGGTGGAATGCCCCCGAAATTGCCATGGAAATGGAGAGTGCGTTTCAGGAACTTGCCATTGTTTTCCAGGATTTCTGGGTCCGGATTGTTCGAGAGGTATGCGAGTTGGATTCTTTTCTTAAGCCGATATAAATAAGCTGTAGAAACCCAAGTAATTCAGAAAACTACCAAGACAGGAAAGAAAGGGGGAAAACCTGGTATATTACTTGTTCCAGCAATGTATCTTTTCTTTTGGAAGCTCGATGGAAAATGTGGCTGTTAATTCTTCTGTCGTGTTTTATTTCACAGCAGCCTGTCCAGTGCTGTGCAGCGGCAATGGGCAGTACTCCAAGGGCCGCTGCCTGTGTTTCAGTGGCTGGAAAGGCACCGAGTGTGATGTGCCTACTACCCAGTGCATTGACCCGCAGTGCGGGGGTCGTGGGATTTGTATCATGGGCTCTTGTGCTTGCAACTCAGGATACAAAGGAGAAAATTGTGAAGAAGGTAAATGTGTGACTATGTACAGAAATCTATTGTTATCCTCATAAAGAAACAGATTATATCTGTAATCTTTAGTTTGGCTGATGAATCTCTTTTTATATGCCTCCTAATGAAAGTAATTTCAGTTTCCATATTTATGAATGCATTGTTTTATTAACATTTTAACTGATAAAACGAACAAATACCAAAGAGCCTCTTTGCTCTTTTTCAGCAGCGTAATAAATCTTTTTTTTTTTCTTTTTACTTACTGAGAAAGTAAGCAAACATTTATTCCTTGAAACCACCAGTCGAACAAATACCAAAGAGCCTCTTTGCTCTTTTTCAGCAGCGTAATAAATCTTTTTTTTTTCTTTTTACTTACTGAGAAAGTAAGCAAACATTTATTCCTTGAAACCCCCAGTGAACTGTTTTTTTTTTTTTTCTTGTTACAGATTTTCACACTGTTGCTATATTCTAAATCTGGCATTTTGGCATCTCTAGAAAGACAGAATATTGAGCATAATACAGTAGGGGAAAATGTACAACATCATGGATCTGTTCCATAAAAGTATATAATGATAAGAGTAAAGATACTATACTGTAAAGTACAGTTAAATTGTTTTTTCAAAAAGCAAAAAGGCACCATTTCCATTCTTCAATCAGATTGATTTTATTGATTTGCAGGCACAAAGTGATGCAATTAAGTCTCTGGAATTAAATTTTCAGGCCATTGACCCTACAAGTGTAAAGTTTTATTCAGTCAAATTGCTAAATTAAATCTCGTCATCTAAAGCACATTAAAGTGAATTAAGAAGGATAGAGAGTGCACAACTCATTTATTTCTCAAACAGTTGGAGGATCCAATACAGCTGTCAGTACTCAGTGGTCATGGATTAGGTCGCCTGATACAGATTTTGCTATAGAGAAGGCAGTACTTATTACTGTCTGATTAAGGCAGAACAGAGAGCAATAGTCTGAAACCTCAAGAGCGTGTGTGTGTAATTCATGAAAATTACAAATCCTTGCAAGAGTCTCAATTACCTTAATGGCATTTGGCTGGTTCTTAATGCTTTATTGTATTATTCTTCTTTGCATTTTCAGAAACAGGTTCTTGAAAATGGTAGATAAATATTTGATTATCCAAAATGCTCCTATAAATTAGATTAGGATTTCTTTTTTTCTGCATGTACTATGAGATGTTCTTGACTTAATAAATTTTTTTTTTTTCTTTATACTAGCTGACTGTCTGGACCCTGGGTGTTCTAATCATGGTGTGTGTATCCATGGGGAATGTCACTGCAATCCAGGATGGGGTGGTAACAACTGTGAAATACTAAAGACCATGTGTCCAGACCAGTGCTCTGGTCACGGAACATATCTTCAAGAAAGTGGCTCCTGTACTTGTGACCCTAATTGGACTGGCCCAGATTGCTCAAATGGTGAGGTTAATAAATGTAGAACAACCGAGTGTTTAATATTGTTTAGCTAAAGATGATATTTTAACTTTTAAAACACACTTATTAAATTTAATACAAATTTTAATAAAGTGATTATTTATGGAACTAAATATTAAAAGTAATGTAGTTGGTTTTTTAAAAAAGGAAAGAAACAGGCTTAGCCAATTTGCCGTTAAAATTTCCCTTTTAGTATTATTGGAAAGAATAATCTTTCAATTGTGTAAGATACCCTGTCTTCTTAAAGCTCACTTTATGGAACTACTCATCAAAATTAGCCTCCTAATAGGCTTTCATACAGCTTGAGAATTTAAGCACATAAGCAGAGAAGTCTCAATTAAAAATAAAATATTTGGCATCATAGGCTAAACATGATCACAAGTAAAAGTATACATATATAGATATTATGATGTGTAGGATGGCTCAACACTGGGATTTTAACTATAATATGATTATAATAGATATGGCAGGTAGTAATTTTATTTAATTAGCACAGTTGTTATTGAGAACCTACTATGTGCGTGGCATTGTGATAGTCCCCAAAGGAATAAAAGAATAATGAACAGAGCCTTCCTTCTAGAACAGTGGCTTTCAAAAATACGTTTTTACATTGTAACCTGTTATAACTGTACTTGCACGTACTCACGTAACTAAACAAACATTTTACAAAGTGATACGCACTGATTTTTTCCAAGTCTATTGTAATTTTTTAAACTTCCAGTTACAATCCATGAGCTAATTCCATGACCCACTCTGTCACAGTTTGAGAAGATGCCATTCTAATGTAGAAAATTATGGTTTAATTGGGGAGATAAGATGACCACACTTGAAATAATTAGAAACCAGTACATTCTAGTTTGATATTATATTGAGTGTTACATGGAATAATATGCTAAATTCAGTGGACATTGAGAGGAATGATCCCACCTTGATGAGTACTGAAAGTTTGAAAGGAGAATTTTTAACTTTTCTTGCCTTCATTTAAAGAGGATTCTGGTGGTAGGGGGCAGGGAGGGATATTTTTTGACTGGGGAAATAGTATGAGAAAGTACTTAAAGGATTGGACTATGAAATTGGATGTGTGGGTTCATACCCAATCTCTACTTTTTTAATATCCATGTAACCTTAGGCAAATTACCATATGCCTCGGTTTACTTGTCTGTAAAATCAGAGGACGTTCTTTACAGAGATGCTATGGGAATTACTTGAATTAATGTGTATAAAGTACTTAATACAACACTTGGCCCATAATAAATTCTAAATATAGTTCCCACCAGCACCACCACTGCAGCTACTATTAGCAAAGATGCAACTGTGAAAATATTATTATATACATGGGACAGTGGGGAGGAAAAGAATATTTGGAGGTAAAATTGGTTTTGGCCCAGTTATGGGGGCTGCAGTTAGAAATGATCCTGTAGACAATGAAGAATTCACAAATAGGAATGATGTGCTCAGTAATATGATGAGAGTCGTGTTTTAGGAGAACTGTCAGATGGACCATATGGCAAGAGCGTGAAGAGTGGGACTTTGACAGCTAGAAGACAGTTAGAGGATTTTCCCAGAAGTGTGCGGTGATGAGAGCATGAATTAGCTTGGAGTTGGTATAAATGAAAAGGATTAATCTGAGGGACATTTTAGAGGAAAAATAGATAAGACTTGCTGAAAAAATAGGATATAGAAGCTTGATGAGAAGAGCCATAAATAAGTCAGAAGCAAAGGAAATTGGGGTCAATCTTAATGTCTCTGAATGAGGCAAAAAAGCTGGGAAGGGCGATGCTGATGGAAGAGGCAGGATGTAGGGGAGGCAATGAGAGAGAAGACGTGAGAAATAAAGGTGACGATGAATTCTGTTTGGATACTCAAACTATCTTGGCAAGAGTAAGTAATACAGAAAAGGGGGGGAAGGAAGCATGAGAACAGTGAAAAGGAAAAGAAGTGGGGGAGGAGGAGGAAGAAGAAAAAGAAAGAGGAGAAAGGCAAAAGAAAAAGGAGAGATTTTAATAGTCGTGTTGAGTAATTAACATGGTGCATAAAGCTTAGAATCAATGAAGGAGTCTGTCTGCTCTTAATTCTGCCCACACTGATTGTCCTCTTCTCTAAACCTGCACTCGAGCTGAACTGCCTGGGTTCAAATTTTGGCCTGGCCATTCAGTAGCTGAATTATGTTGGGCAAGTTATTTAATTCCTCTGTGCCTCAGTTTTTTAATCTGTAAAATGGGGATTATAATAGTACTACTTTATGCAGTTGTGGTAAGGACTCAATGGATAGCTGGGGAAACAGACTGTTAGAAAATTCGTAACTACTAG